ACTTAACTCCTATTTAATAATTAATATTAACAAATATAATATCATTTAAATTGCAAAACATTTTTTCCTTATTTATATGATCATGTGGGAATAGAGAGATATATATATATATCAATACCCGAATAGATTTTTACGCTTCCAAATATTAGAAGTTTATGAAATTTGTAATTTGTAAAAAATAAACATCATTCAAGATTATTTTTATTTGTTAGTCGTTTCTTTATCATGTCCACAATTAATAAGCTTTTAAGATTAAATTTATTAGTAAAATAAATATTTTTTTATAACTCTAATTCAAAATTCAAATTTTAGAATCAACCTCAAAAAAATTTTTTTTTTCTAAATGTACAAGTTAACATGAAGTATGCACTTTTAAAATTATTTAATTATAAATAAAAAATTCATAATTAATTTTAAAGTTACATTTTTGAATAATAATTCTACTAAGAAAAAGTTTTACCATACAAAATACAGGCCAAGACAGCATTTTATAAGCGTGGTTGAAGCTTGGAAGGAGGTCGAAGGCGGTGGACGAAGACAACTACCGAAATAAACAAACCTTGTGGTCATTGTCACATGATGTAACAGGGCATTATATGGCAATCCTTTGTGTGGTCATTTATCTTGTCATGTTTCAACAATTAACTACAATGAATTTGACTAGCTGCTGTTGATTGCAGACGTACATATGACTAAGTATTGTTTGTTAGGTGAAATGTTGAATCTCGAAGCCTTAAGCCTTAAGTAGGAAACTTTGCTAAAGATTATGGTTAAAGAATACGCAAACATGTATAGACAAGGTGGGATTTTTATTTTACATTTTTGTTTGAGTCTTATATGTGATATTTTGAAGCAATTTTGTCTATGATTCTACCTAATATTGATAATTAATATGTGGAAATAGGTTTTTTTTTTTTTTAATCTTTTTACTTAATAGAAATTAATGTGGATGTTAGTCTCTCTCTCTATTTTCTTTCGCTTCTGACTATATTTCCTCTATGTTTCGGTTTTTTGTGCTTGAAAGACTTGGACCTTCTGATTTTTTGATGTTTGAGCTACTGGGATCTCCGACTGCTCAAGCATGATAGAGCTGGTTTCGTGCTCTTTACTCCAATGACCCATTTGTGGTCTATCAACTTTTGGGACCCCTTCTAGTGGTCCTTTTCTTGTTTTTTTAATTTTGTTTTGTTCATTTGATCTCAGATCCAATGGCCATCGAGCCTCTCATAACGATTATGAAGGATGGTCATTGCCTACCTAGATCTATTCGTCTCGGTGTCCTGGAGACCAAGTGCAACTCCTACAAGAGTAGATTGAAGGGTGTCAAATTATCTAGATCATTCAACTAAAGAAATCTATACAAACTTGTTCTTTCGAGATTGTTTGTGTATACTGTTTATTGTCCTTCATTATCATTATTGAATTGGATTTACTTTAAATTTTCTCTCTAATTATACTTTATCTATTTCTTATTTACTTTTATCTATAAAATAAAGTTTTGCTATAGACGCTGTATGACAGTGCTGTAATGAAAATTTTTCACTGGGTTAAAAAAAAAAAAACAAAAAAAAAAAGGTGGTTGTTTGATATGATTCTTGTCATTGAAATCGAGTAGTGCAAAAGAGGAGTATAAGGCAATTCTTTTCACCAACTCTATTAATTAACCATAACTAACTTGTACTGGAAAAATTGATTATGCTTAAATTGGACAGTAGCAATACCAAGCATCACAGCATGTTTATTATGAGAGGTGTTAGTTACACTTTTCTTTCTTCACTATTTATCAAAACTTATTATATAATTGATTCCCAGGTTATATATTTTTACATTATTAATCAATGTGACAAATTAAATTATTTAAATTTAAAATCAACATGAAGATCAATTATATTGTGAGTGTTAATAAAGAATGTGAGAAAAAGATTATCACTCGTATTTTTTTTATTGTTAATAATACTCCTAGTTAGAGATTATCACTCAAGTTATAAAGTTATTTGATTAAATAACTATGAAATATACTAAAAAATGATTATATTCAATTTTATTAGTTTTAATTTAAATAAATAAATAAATAAATAAAAAAAGAACCTGAACCCTTCGGGCTAAGTAGCTTTAACCACGATTATAAGGTTCATGTCTCCCTCTTCAAGCGTAACGGTTTGAACCGGTGCCATGACAAAATGTTAAAAAAAAAATTTAAATAAAAAAAAGAAATCATAAAAAATAATAACAATAATAATGCCTTTTGGGGCATTAAGTTGCATATTTGTACTTTTGTCCATAGCGTGCCCATCTCCCATGTGGGTGATCATATGCTCTGCCATCCTGCCATTGGCTTTATTTACATTATTACACCCTTTTTTTTTTGGGGGTTTATGCTAGCGGATGCCACTCAGTCTATTGGACATATTTCAATAGGTTTATCAAAAAAGGACGGTTTGGGCAGCTGAACCATGTGATGTGAGTGTTCAAGTCTGATATTTCACTGTGCAAGCCACCCACTTCTATAATCTTGGCATAATGGCATGCACCCCACTTACCCGAAAACCATAATCTTGGCAAAGTTTGAAACTGTAATAAATCTTAAGAAAGTTTGTCATGCTCCTTATGTTTGTAACGGCTCAATAAGTTGAAAATGTTACCAAGAAAGGACGGTTTAGGCAGCTGAAACATGTGATGTGAGTCTTTATTCATGTTTGATATTTACTTGTCCAAGCCACCCACTTCTATAATCTTGACATGGGCCTCTCTGACCTCACTTACCCGAAAAAAACTATAGGGTCTGTTCGCATAAATTACTGAAGGAAAAAGTTGGGAAGGAAGGGAAAAGGAACGAGGAAAAAGGAAGGAGATGGAAAAATTAGTGTTAAATTTGTTTTGATGATAGACAAAATAAGGGAATAAGAAGGGAGGGAATGATGATATTTTTAATTTAATAGATAAATTAGAGAAAAAAAATTGTTTTACATTCGCAAATAAAAAAAAAAATATGTATTTATTAAGAAATAGAAAAATACATCTTTCTCATTCATCTATTAGTTTAGTAAAAAATTATTAGCATCAAAATTTAGGTATTCCTAACTTTCTAAAAAATTTATTAAATTTAATTTATTTTTATAATTTAACTAAGAAATATTTATTACCACAAACCAAACCTCATCTAATTATATAAGTAACTATTAAATTTTAAATAATAACCTAAAATCTAAAAGTACAAACTTTAAATATTAAATATTGAATCTTATATTCTAAGAATATTAAACCTAATTTTAAATATTGAACTCTATACTAATTATTAAAATAATTCAGTGATCACCTCTTTTCGTTGAAAGTAAGAGATCTTGAGTTTGAATTGTATGACATGCGAGTGGGGTGAAATAACGGATGGAAGATGGTTAGTTGCCTTTTATTGTGCAACCAAGATAAAAAAAAATATTTTTTTTTTGAACTCTATAACCCATAAAGAACTCTTAAATCTAAAGTCATATACTTTAAAATCCTAAATTAAACTCCAAATAAAGTTTGAGAACCAAATATAGCTAAAAATGATAAGGGACCAAATAAATTTAAGTTGTTAAGAACAGGGACCAAACTGCAAATTTAACAATAAAAGTAAAAAAAAAAAAAAATCAAAGGATGTTCTTGCGATAAAAATTAATTTAGAACTTCTGTTGTCAATTATCTGTAAGTTCAGCGATTTCTATTTTTGATATTATTATTCCAATTTGAGGCGAATAGGAAATAATATAATAAAAAACAGAGAAAATTCCTTCACTGCTCTCCAAACGTAGGGAAGGAGTCGGAGAGAGACCCATTGCACTGTTAGAACGGCGTCTCCGGCAGCACCCAATTGATCCCGGAAAGGGAGTCCTGCTGATCGGAGAGCTGAATCGAGATGGCCACCTCGAATTTGGAGGCGAGCAGCACCGACGTTTCTCAGTTCAATCACACTCCCTTTTACTGGTTTTCATCCAACAGCCTTTCCCTGACTCTCTAGACCATTAAATTTCAAGAATTTTTTTGTGGGTAAAGTATATTTTGAAAGTTCTCACTTGTTTTTCAGTGAGGAAAATGTGTACTTGCTGTGTAAGAAACTCTGCGCAAATGGGGTAGCTGATGCTCAAGGGTCTGATCTTTTCGTAGTTTTCATTGCCAATGAGAAGAAGCAGGCATGTATGATTTTTTCATAATAATAGTGATTTTTCCTTTATCTTTGCTCCTTTGGGTATGGTGGGATTGAGGGAAAATTTTGGTATTTTGACTTAAGCTCATGTTTTGGTTCTCTTTTTTGATCTACATTTTCATTGTAGGGAAGGATGAAAAACGCAAAATTTGGTAGTGAATATGGGTTTATGAAATGGTTATGCAAATGCCTGTAAAGGGTAGAGGGGATTGAGCTGAAAAGTTGAAAATTATGTCTTGGTTTTGTGTGCTAGAACTTGAATTCGTTTGGATGGAAGCATTTGTTCTTAACAAGTGTTCTTGAAATACAGTTTGAAGAAATCTAGAGTGACATTTTCTTTTCTCATGATCTGCTCTATACGTTTAGATGATTTTTATTGTGGTAATTTGGGGAAGAAAATCTGCAGATCCCACTATGGCATCAAAAGGCCAGCAACAGAGCAGATGGTATTATTCTCTGGGATTATCATGTGATTTGCATACAGGTGAAAGCTAAACTCTTTCTTCCATTTAGTGGTTGTTTCATTTTCCACATGACTCCTCTTAAGATTTTGGAATCACATTGGAAATTACAGAGGAAAAGAGATGGTGACTCTCATTTGGTTTGGGACTTGGATTCAAGTCTTCCTTTTCCTTCTCCTTTAGCCACTTATGTTTCTGAAACTATCCGGCCATCTTTTCAGCTATTTTCCGAGTATCAGAGGTAATTTTCACTTACATTGTCTACTAATGTTTGTGTAAACTTAAAAATAGAAAGAAAAACATGTTGATCATAAGTACGTTATTGTTGCATTAAAGTGGGATTCTTGACTAAATTCTTTGTTTTCTGTTCCCAGAACTGCAAAAAATCCATGATAAATGAGACTCTTTTTTCTATTCTTTTCATCAGGTTTTTCAGGGTTGTGCATGCTCCAATCTTCCTGCGTTGCTTTGCATCTGATCGAAGACATATGAGAGACTCTGCTGGGAACTGGATTGCTGAACCTCCTGCCTATGAATCTATAGTTGCTGAAGGTAAATGCATCAGGAAACCGTGAAACTTTAAAGAAATCTTTGTTTATATATTTACTTGACTATTTCAGTTACATCCTGTGAATCTTATTTAAACCTCTCAGGTCTTGCGTAGGAGGTTTATCCTTTAGTTTGTACATTTAGCTTGCTGGTTTGTGATGGTAGCCTGTGTTACTAAGTAACCACATTTTACTAAGCTGAGCTTTAGATTTGGGAAGTAATAATATCAAAAATGATGGTTGCTTCCTATGTTGTTCATGTTCCTAATTGGGAATGGCTGTTGGACATAACATATAACAATGTCCAACAAGGGTACATTTTAGTTCTTTTTTAGCTTTTCTTTACTGCTTCTTCAATCTTGAGCATCAGGAATCTCATTGCCATTTTTTCTAACCAGTTGGAGGAACTTTGTTCCTATTTCTTGTCTACATTTTGGGTTTGATTATACCTCATCTCCTTTTTATTGATACATTGGAAGTTGCCTGCTTGGCATAATGGGTGTTGACTCCAAATCAAGGTTTTAAGTCAATGGGTACCAACTCAGCTAAGTTCTTGTTGGTGATTAAAGTCTCATTTCCTTGTATAACTGAGTGTAATTTGTATCTGTAATTCACTAATATTGAAGAAACTTGTAGGCTAATTTACTAACTTGCAGATAAGGAAAATCCAAATCTCTGCATCTCTTCCCTTGAGTTGTTCTGACTACCATGT